TACTCCTGGTAGTAGAACAGGTATAGCATTTTATACTCTTTTTTAAACCTTTTAAAATGCTGTTAATTACTTTTTTCCCCAATATAAATATTTAGTTAGAAGCACTATATGAAGGAAAGAAATTACAGAACTAATTAAAACAAAAAATCATTTCAAGGACACATACAAAACTAAAAGGTAACAGCACAAAAGGGGATTGGTGCACAATAAGGTGAACAATATTCAGTAGAGACATGGAAAGGCTGACCCACCAAACTCTCATACCTCACAGATAGATAAACAATAAACGTACACCTGCCTGGGAAGATCCATTTCAGTTTTAAGTGGAGAGCAGGAAAATCCACTGGGAGAATACAGTTCCACTAATATATATGTGCACTGAAAACACACATTTCAATCTTATTCTTGGACAACTGCATATTTAGTACTTTTTCTTGCACCTTTACTGAAATAGCCCCAACACTGGGGACATGAACTAGAAATTCTCCTATGCACAAATTCTCTCTACAAGAACAAATTCGATCCTTCTAATAACATCAGAGGACTGTAAGTATGCAAAGATTGTTGCTATCGGTTGGAAGCAAAGATTAATATACTGATCCGGATTGTGAGATCCAATTTTGTTGAAAAACAGGGGAATAGCTACATTACCAGAACTAACAAACTGGGCAATGCTGTACTGACAGTGAAATATTAGTCTTCGTGTATAGTCTTTGGAACATTAAACACTACAGCCATAGACAAATTGTTCATGTTATGTAGGTTATACATTAAATTCTCTACTCCCCTCCCCACCTCCAATAATAACAACCCAACAATGTCCTGACATAGAAGATGACAAAGTTGATGGCACACAACTTATCATTCAAGGCAAGAAAAAAACCTGTAATACTGACTACTTTTTGTGTGCTTCTGAAGATATTCTGCATAACAATAATCTATTTGAATTTGTCAGAGAATTCAAGAAAAATAAATTTGTTTTACCACTGAAGACATGCCACTGAAGGAAAGCAGTAATCATCTGCATGCAGCACCATCTGTGTACCATTAGCAAATTTCAGAATGGATTAGGCCATGTGGTAAAATTATCAGTCTCTGACATCACTGCCACCAGGCAAGCAGTGAATTAATACAGAGCAAGTCTGTGGAAAAAGTAAAACAGTACTACCATAGATTCATATACATGATGAAAAACCCAGCTGACCTCCATGTACTTTTCAAAAATACTGAAAGGATGAATTCTAAAGTGTCTCATCTTCAAAAAAATGAAGAAGATATTATTTGATACTGGCACGGAAAGAACAGGAAAGATGGAGCTTTTGCCTTTTAACAGAGAAGTAGCATGAGAAGCCCCAGGAAAACTGTATTTGGTCTTTGCCTTTTCTTTCTCATCCTGACTTTTCTCTCATTTCATGCAGCCAAGTGGAGATCATTGCAGAGAATGAAGAGTTGCAGTCTGTGCCATGGACTTGGGATGTGCTGGTGCATGTGAGGTGGGTTCACAGCATTGTGCTATGAGAGAGAGGGAAGAATAAGACAGAAAAGAGGCAACTGAGATATTTCTGTATAGATAAAGCAAGGTATCAAGGGTTGTGACGGAAAGAATCTCCCCTCACTTCAAACGGCAACAACTTTGGGGACAGTAAAAGGGAAAAGGAGTCATAGCTAAGACTGCAGCCTTTTATGCTGGCAGTGAAGAGGCTGAGGGATTCAAGAATTTAGGATTAGCTTTTGCATGCAGGAGTAGAGTAGAAAGTGTGATTAAAACAGAGCCACAACAGTCTGAGATGTCAGGGTTCTTCAGCTGAATGAGAAGTTAAATTAAAATTGCATCACTGTTTTCAGGGAGGCCTAGTGAAACAGAAGCTTGCGCAAAGATATTGCAGACAGCAAAGGGAGTAGAGGCCCAGTCAAAACTTTGTCAGCATAAGTAGTAAGGTTCAATCTAAAAAAATGAGCTAGTATTGTGCTACTGTCAGTCATTTGAAGTAGTCCTGTGCAGTGGTTTCAGGATGTCTGTACAAGGGATTGACACCTTGTTCTCAGAGGATTCAATATTTGAATTTATTCACCTGTGAATGGAAGAGAGAGTGCAAAGAGAGCAACTTCTGTCTGCAAAGTCCTTGTCAGTGGCAAAAGGTCTCCTTACTTCTATGAGATGGGTTTTTGTGTGCAACCCACAAAAAAAATAAGAATTCTATACACTCCTGTACACTACTTTTCTAAGTCCTACACCTATTAGGAAACTGTAATTAAGTAATTGGCTATAGAAAGTAGTGCACACAGCAAAACTGTATGGTCACATGCAGCTTCCTGCATGCATAGGTATCAATATTTGGTTGTCAGTACCTACACTCACAGAGTCCACTTACAAAACACTATTCCTAAACTACACATTAACTAGATGTTAAACTGTTTCTCTTCTGGTTTTGCAGATTGCAAGCAGTATGACAGAATGAGCTCTCTCATCTTAAGCTTGCTCATATAGGGGGACAAACAATAAAAGGTAACAAAGAAACAAGAAGTAGGTTACTTAAAGAAGGGGAAATAAGGAAAAAGAGACAAATCACATGAAATTGAAGTTTTCCTTAAGATTTTGGTTACGTTAAGAAACAATTCTCCAGCTTATGCAATGAAAGCCCAACCACACACAGTGATCAAAATTGGGTCATTAAAAATCACAGATGATAAATCCAAGACAGTTTTGGACTAGCTTTATTTTCAGTCTCAGATTTCTGATTTTTCTAGAGGAAAAAAACCATTTCTTGTTATTCTAAGAATATAGCATTGAATGTAATATACAATTCTGCACTGAACAGCACCTATAAAAGTATCTGAGAATGTAAATTTCTACACTGTATTTCAAGAATTTGAACTCATTTTGATGTTAAATATTGTTCTCTTACTATTTCTGAAAACTATGCAGTGTTCTATACACCAAACTGCTCAAAAATAGTTGTTGAAAGGCATGAACAGCTGCTTTTTTTTTTTTTTTTCTTTTAAATACACAAACCCCAAAGTTTTGTGCCAGGCTTACACACTAATGCTTCTGAGTATGATCATTCTTAGTTTCAGTAGACCACAGCTTATGGTGGTAGTTTTTAAGATGTCAGATTCCTGCTTCTCAGTGGTGAGGTACATTACTATTTGTGGTACCTCAAATCATAAATTACTCAAATCTGAGGCCATAAAAACCTATAAGTAAAAATGAATTGACATTGCATAGCACAAAAAAGAAAAGAAGGATATACCTTCTTTGCGGATATGACAAAGAGAATTTGAGGCAAATATCAGAAGCTGCCTCTGTGATGCCTTCTGGTTCTGATATGCATTGATTTTTTTCAACAAAGAAGCCACCAAATATGAATTATCATATACCAAATCAAAAGGTTATTGTCATAATTTGCTGGCACAGTTGCAATGTTCTGATGAAAGCCTTCCATGATTCCATTAGAAGAATATCTGAACACCAGCATAGAGTGTTTTAGCAAATGTTTTCACGCCTAATACATTGCTGAAAAAGTATTCAAATCAGTAATCTAATCAAGAGAAACAAAGTTGCTTCAGATGTGCTAGTTTCATATCGACAAACAATATAATTCAAACAGAAATACTAATGTTTTGCATTTGGAAGTCAGGAAAGAAAATTCACAGCACTTATAATTGTTCTATTTTTAAAATGTAGAGAGATACAGTACTTAGAAAATCCCATTCAAAGGAGGAGTAGTTGTTTTGGCATAGTAAGAAATAGCGCTGATCAATATACAAGGCAAAAGTTTTTATAATTCTAGTAATGAGATACTTTAGACCTTTTCGAACTTATGAGAAAACTGCAACCGATCAAAGTGAAAGCAATGTGTCATCTGCAAGCCAAGAGAAGTATACTATAATTTTATTCTAATGCCAAAGAGCAAGTTAATAAAAAACCCACATCAATTATCTCTTACAGTATTTAAAATGTTTCACGTTGCATTCAGCAACTAATCCTGCACAACATCACATGGCCTCACATTTTTACAGCAGCTCTGAAGTTTCTATGAGCTGGAAAAGGAAGAAATACAACACTTTGAGGTATGCAGAAACTACGTAAGCCACTGTAGAGCTGGAGAGCGCTCTTAAATTTGTTTAAGGTTCAGCAATAAGTACAAATATTACCCTAACGATACCTTCCACAGCAGCATGTGAATTATATTAAGCAAATTAATACCATTAGTACCTTTTAGGGGGAAAAAAACCCCCAAAACATAGGAATCTAAACGGAAAAACTTCATAGTGTCTAGATTCTGTTGTATAGCCTTTAAGATGTACAGATGAGAAGACGGAAGATAAATTAGATAATTTGATCTCATCACCTTGTCTTTGTAACAAAGCATAACTATAGCAAACAGTGCTTATATAGTGCACCACCAAGAGAATAATATCCCTTTTAAATAGTTAACTAATATAACTGATAAATTTTACCAATGGCTTCTACTTTTTTTCCTTTCCAAACTGAATAATGAAAAGGTATTCAAAATAGGAAGGAGAGATTTTCTTCAAAGGAAGGAATCCCTCGAACTGGATGTAAGACAGCTCTGTCTGGAGACAACCAAACAAAGTGTACAGGTTTCTGCCACATTCACTCTCAGCAACTGGAAGATCTTTTTCCCTTGACCTTTTAGATTTCAAATATTAGACTGATATTATTATATTACTACACATTTACTAAAATGAAGACATAAAATCAAACTACAGCTTCAAAGGACATTTTTTTTGTATGCAAAGAGGTAAAAAAAAAAAATTGTCATCCAGTTGACCTGTGCAACTGAATTGCTGTATTAATTTCTTAAAAATTAGGGACTTAAAAAAATTAAAACGGAAAGACATACACAATGAAACTGACTATCTTCCTTTTAAAATAATTCAATTTCTTATAAGAACAAAACTTAGAAAAAACACTAACATTATGAGACTAATTTGCAGATAGAAATAACAAAATTTACAGTCATATTGGTACTTACCCACTAAATGCCTGGACTGCATAAAGCTTGGAAGTATCCAAGGAACTTCCGCTTACTATCCGAGCCTTTAATAAAGACCAAGAAAAATACAGTTACTCGGTTGCTCTTAGCAAGTCTTGGACAGAATTTAACTGCATCAAACACGTAACACCTAATATGAAAATGTTTAGCAGGGTCAGCTCCAGGCCAAAGCTAGAGTAACTATTCCTTTGGAAAACATTTTGGTAGCATTCAGCATTTAGCAAAACACACTGGAAGAACCCGTGGGAAGATAAGATATTGCTTCCCAAATACTGTCGTCCTTTAAGTCCTGTAGTGTATGCAGTGTAGATGATAATTAGAGGCAAAAATCCCAGATATCACGTTTGACAGTAGCAGACCCCTGTGTTGGCAATTATGATAAGCACAACAGTGAGGGTTATCCTGTTTACAAATGCAACACACATTTGCAATACACTCAAAGGAGAACAAAAGAGTGGAAAGCTGGGAAAAACATGCAAATTTCACAACTAAAATGAAGGAACCAAACAGGTCAAATAAGTGACAAACAAACATCAACAAAATACATGATCCCTATAGTAAATACGTGATTTTAAACCTTTTCATCCACAGAACCGCTATCTGAAAGAGAATTGGGAAGAAGGGGAATATAGGTTAGACAAAACGGTCTCTGAGAAAATATCTTATGCTATAAAAACCTGCCACTGTTTTAATCTGCTAATACAGAGCAGAATCCAAGTAACACCTGTGCTTAGCTGTATCACTGCGGCAAGACCACTCTCATTACATTTTAAACAAGCAAAAAGATGTTTTCAGTAAATAAGCCACTTATGCAGGACTGTGTGGATACCATATAATTTATATACTGTATCACATCTCCACATGATTTTTAGGTTGTTTTGTTTAATATATTTTCTAATATTAATGAATATTTAATATAGTTGCAGTGTTCAAAAAAATAATGCTCTATTTTCAAGGAAAATAAGTGTTTCTACTAAGAATATAAAAAAACCCATAAAAATCTCCTGAACCGTTACTATTCTATTCTATCGCAGCTATTCATATAATGACAGAAATTACCCCCCAAATGCCAATAGAAGAACTACAATTGTGAAAGTATAAGATATGATATCTATATATCATTATAAATTGCTTAATCCAAAAATGTGATGTATTCACATTTACTATCAGACAGAAAATATTTGCTCACAGGAAAAGTTACCATTATTTTATTGTCTTGTCAATTTTAAAATGCAAATTCATTTAAAATTGTTTTTATATACTATTCCACCAGTAAGTGTCTCTTTTTTTTTTTTAATGCTTTATAGTACAGTGTATACATGAAACTGCATTGTTTTAATTGTCACCTTACTGATCTTTCCATTTTTCCTCCCCAAATGGAGTACACATTCTACAGGTATTTTTAGGATGTTTAGAAATATCCCACATTACAAAATGATCATTTACACCTTAAACATGTGCCACGTTTCATTTTTAAATGTTTATCTACAGGAAAGTATCACATTCAAACACACACATGAAAAATTTATCGGCAAATGTAAAGGTGCATACAGTATAGTACCAACAATCCAGGGAACCAAAAGGCTCTATTGTGCCACTAATTTTAGAGGCTACTTATGTGATCAAAGCAAAAGCACATGCACAAGAACAGGCAGAATAGAAACTGGAGATAAGCTGTTCAAAACATGTTTTGGCAGTCAGATTATATCTGATTTTGTATTATTGAAAAAGGTTAAAGAGGATTGAGCTACCTGGTATTAGCAACGTTACAACACCAAATTTGAATCCACGGAAAATCCAACTATGCAACAGTCCCTCCTCCTTTGTGAGGCCACAAAATTTGCCATTTTCTTACGCTTGACTACAGATATTAGCTTTTCTTTCACAGCTGTTGTGAACAATTCTTTTAGAAAGAGTATGCCTAAAAGAATGAACTGTAGTTTGTTGTCCCAAGGAAAACTCATGTTTTGAGTTATACAGAATATTAAATTAAAACTATTACTAACAGTAAATTCCACGATTTAGTAAAAATAGAGTAAGCACATCTCTGTGCACCAAGAATATCTGCTTGCCGTGAATTGATTGTTTTCATAGTTCTCCTGAATAGAAATGGACACGGTACCAATTTTTGTGTTTTAGAAAAATCCATTAAGGTATTTTTTCTGCTGGGACATGAACTATTCTGGTGTTTTCTCACTTCCCCTGCCCCCCCTTCAGAAATATTAGAATTTTTATTTTGCTTCAGAAATTAATTCTTTACTAAATTAAGCTATAGTGTTTTAGTTGTCAAATTACCCTTATTTGATTGAGTAGATCTATAGAAATGAGTTTAGTCTTTATATTTTCTTTTTTTTTTTTTTAATTTATTTGTGAAATGTATTTGGCTGACAACATCAGATACAATCAGCTACTCCTTCTGCACAAGCATATAAAGAAGATTTGGAAGACCACATAATCCTACTTTCCCGCTCCAAAATTATTACAGAGTTTTCGTAATCAGGGTAAGAGTGGAGCCAGGAGTAAACAGATGTCTGTAAGCTGGGCTGGCTGTGGAAACAAACTGGGATATGCTTTTATCAGGGCTAAAGGAAATACGAGGAGTAGTTAAATCCAAAGTGTGGAGCAGCATCTGGACAGATGAATGAGAGGAAAGGCAAGAAAGGATATACCAACAGGACTCTAAGTAGCAGAGGCTGAGACTGAATTAATTCTCAAACTCGTAAAAAAGGCAGAGTCCAAAAGGTGAAGAGAAATTTGGGGACTGAGGGAAAGTTTAAGGCAGGACATCACTTGTAAGGTAAGAAGCCTCACCATAATCTGTTCATGCAACCTCCACCTTCTTTCCAGAATATCTAATCATAACAATATTTGTAATACTGCCATTTAAAGATGCATGATAAATCTCAGTATTATTTATGTGAAATGCAATTTTTAAATAGTTTGCAGGTACTTTGCTACCAGCTGCCTAAAGAATCACATGAATTATATGTTTAATTCAGTTGTTTATAAAGTTATATTAAGAAATACAAAATTATTGAGACTTTCTTCCATATTAAATGGAATTTTGTATTGCAGAGCGTGAGATGGAGAGATGAAATTTTCTTTACCTCTCTTGGGTTTCAGCCAGCTTCATCTAATTTCACTACACTTCCTTTACTGGAACCTAATTGTGCCTAAATTCAGGAGGGAGAGTGACAATCAAAAATTAGGAAGGGGAAAAAAGGTATTACGTTTGGTTTAACTTGATTTTCTTTGCAGTTGTGACTTAAAAAAAAAAAGCATCAGTCTAATGGCCTCTTTTCTCAACAGAAATTGCATAAAGACAACAACTGACGCAAATTTCCCAAAACGAGATTTTGAGAGCATCTCTTTTGTAAGAAATGACTGCATCTTCAGAGACAAAATTAGTTTCAAAACTTCTTTGTTTATTTCTTCTTCTGAAGTCACCATGAGTGAAATAATCTGAACTGTGGAAGTGTTCTCTGTGTGTATGAGAGCACCAAATCAGGAAGTGTACAGTCACCAAGCGATTCACTTTGGTAGTCATTAGGCTACCAGAATAGACAGCAACATTCCTTGATGTAGATAAGAAATGAACTGTGATTATGTAAGAGACGACGGAATGTATTTTCAAATCAGGGACACGAGGCTAGACATCTCAGATTATGCTGCTGAATGACAATGGTTTACTTAAAAGAGCTTATCTTCATATAACTCATTTCTGTCATCCACACATTCTATGGCAAACAACTAAAAGAGTTATGAATGTACTAAGAACAGTGTAAACGCTGGTGCATTTAGTTAACCCTATGGGAGACTTCCCATCATTATTTCAATTAGTTTGTTTCTCCTTAGAGTTTTACTTTATGTGAAAATTCACTACATTACGAAATACCAGTATAGCCTTCATGTTATGCCTCTATACTACATGCCATTTTAGATAACCGGAGGGTGTTTTACTAGGATTATAGGAAAAATCCGTAGAGTGATATTGCTCCATAATTGTTGCTATTTCAGCTCAGTGCATTCCATATATATACCTGCGTAGTGGAATGATGAAGAGTAGGATGGTCATCTAGTACTACACTTCTCTTTCTTTAACGATTGTAAAAATTTAGTTCACCCCCTCCCTCCCCCTCCATAGCACAAGAACTGTAATAAGGTTGTAAAAATATAAACCGTTAGGAACATCTAGTACTACACTTCTCTTTCTTTAATGATTGTAAAAATTTAGTTCATCTCCCCCTGCCATAGCACAAGAACAGTAATAAGGTGGTAAAAATCTAAACTGTTAGGAAACCCTAGGATTAAAATGGTATTACGTATACTACCTTGATTTTCCACTCTTATAAGCATACATAATTGTATAACACCAAATTGGAAAAAGATTTAAAGTTCATTATTCTCTCAAAGTACCATTTTAATCTTTAATTCTGCAAAACAGTTGCAAGAACATCAAACTGACTGATAATTATGTCATTCCTGGAAGCAAACCCTTTAGACATAATACTTGCTGGAATTAGGTAACAATACAGCTGTTCCATGGAAATAACACGTGTAAAGTACCCATAGCCAGAAACAGTCTGTAGTCTGAGCTGGGCAATTCTAATTAGTATGTATTGCTAAGAAAGGGAAGTAAAGGATGAAAACCAGGGTCAAATAAAAGCAGCACACTGAAGTAGTAGATTGTCTGTCCAAAACAGTAACACAAATTAAGCCATGCTAAAATAATAAATGCTGTACCCAGAAGCTAATATTGTCACTACAGAACAGAATATTACGGTATGTAAGCCTAGAGGATGTTGCGTTGCTGAAGCATATTCTAGGAAAACATACTGTATAACGCTTGAAAGATAATATTAAAGCTAGCACATCATAAGAGGTGAGCGATGCTTGTCTGACAAAGAGAAGGTCAAACTTGAATAAAGCTTGTTTGACAGGAGAAATAGAATTGCTGCCAGCACTTCACTAGCAGTGATGTAGAAAAATTACTAGCGGGTACATTGAGAGCCAAAACAGGAGGTCAGCTTGGTGGAGATAAAAACTGCATTTGTGTCTTTATTAATAAACTGGTCTGCAAATCTGAAACAAGAGGACATGCTTTAAAAACATCTCTGGTGTTTAGAAATTGAGTCCCATTAGACTCCTAAGGGCTTTTGTTGTCTATTGTCTTTCAACAGCTACTAGATACTTCTACCAACTTCTGAAACTTACCTCTAAAGGAATAAACTATTGACTATCAAGAGAACTATTTGATTACAGAACGTGGTATGATATTATTGCTTCTTAATTTTTGGTGGTCTCAGAAAACTACAGTCCTCTTGAAGACTGGGCTTTCTTGACAGTCTCTGGCTTGTCAAAGTGATAGTAGGGAGTAAAATGCAGAGTGCATTTTAAGCACTTTATTCCGACCACAGAACACATCAGAATGATAAAGCATACATTATCCATAAAGGATAAAGAGGCATATTTTAGCTCTTTGATACAAATTATAACAGTAAATGGAACCAAGTAATTAATTATAGCATATAAAAGCAAACAGATAATTGATTATTGCAAATCTTTCCATATCACACAGCCAACATTGCCACAAAATATTT